GCATCCCCTAGGGCAGCCAACCCCACCAACAGCGTGACAGGTGGGAGGAGGCCGTGGGCATGGTGAAACGAAGGGTAGGTACCCCTTGCCACCGGCTGCCAGGTGTCTCCTAGGCTGCGTGCAGAGGCCACAAACCTGGCCCCCTGGGGGAGTTCCTCTCTACCATGCACACGACCCTCCTCAGAGGGAGGAACACGGAGGTCACAGACTCAGGTCTCCATGTGGCCTGGGGCCACAGCCAGCTCAATGGAAAGCCTGGGTAGCCATATCCCAGGAAAGACGGGCAACGATACATATCCTTCCCACCTCGGGGCTCAGAGGATTGGGCTGCGAGAGCAACTGGCTTGGGATGCTGGGATACTGCGGATGTGTGATGGAGAGAGCCGGGCAGAGGGCATCTTCCAGGTCCCTACGCAGGTGACACTGGACTCCAGCGTAAATCCATACAGTGTGACAGATATGCGGTGACACTAGTCACAGGAGACTAGGAAGCTGGCATCAGTCAAGACACGGAGGTGGACACCCATATGGCCACCAATCAAAGGTAGAGGGTAGGGCTATGTCCCTATCATTGGACTCCTGGGACTGGGCCTGAGACTCCCTGTTTTTTCTAAGCTGTGATGAAACACCATAACCAAGACAATTTGCAGAAGAAAGGGTTAATTTGAAGCTCAGGGCTCTAAAGGGTTAGGGCCCATAATGGGGGGTGGGGAGAGAGAGACAGCAAGAGCCAGAATGGCAGCTCCAGCAGCAGCTGAGATCTCATTCCTCAGACTGCAAACAGGAACCAGAGGCCACACACTGGAAACGGGGTACGGTTTGTGAAACCTCAAAGCCAGCCCTCCAGTGACATACTTCCTCCAGCAAGGCATGCCTCCTAAACCTACCCAAACTGTTATCTTTTGGGGCCCAAGCATTCAGGCACCCAAGAGTCAGGGTCAGGGTCATTTCATTAAACCACCACACTTTCTTAGTACTTTTGGGGCATGCCCCTGCTCTTTTTAAATGGACGCCACACTCCAGACTGGCTTTACTTGTGTGTGTCAGGCAGGATGTGAACCAAGGGACACGGAATTGGGGGGGGGGATCTTGTCAAGAAAGCTTTTGGGCTGGGCATGGTAGAGCACACCTTTAATCCCAGCACTGGGGAGGCAGAGGTAGGAGGATCTTCATGGGTTTGAGGCCAGCCTGATCTGTAAAGTTAGTCCAAAACAGCCAGGGCTCCCCAGAGAAACCCTGTTTTGAGAAACCAGAAACAAAGAAAAGAAAGAAAGAGAGAGAGAAAGGAGAGAGGGAGGGAGGAAGGGAGGGGGAAAAGGAAGGAAGGAAGAGCACTTGCTTGCCTGGTTATACACAAGGTCTTGGATCCCATTCGCTAAAACTACTCTCCTCCTCCAAATTGTGGTGGCACATGCCAGACCAGCATACACCACACAGTGAGACTCAAAAGAAAAGCCAGGGGCCAGAAAGATGGCTCTGTGGCTAAAAGCATGGATTGCTTTTGCAAGGAACCAGAGTTTGTTCCCAACACCCACATTGGGCAGCTCATGACTGCCTGAAGCTTCAGCTCCAAGGGATTCATCGCCCTCTTCTGGCCTCTGCAGGCAGGCACTCATATGCACAAACACACACAAAGGAAAATAAGTCTTGAAAAGAAAATCATACCACGCCATTCCTAGCTAGCTCTCTGCCTTCTACTTTTGGATCGGGATGTGAGCTCTCAGAGAAAGAGAGAGAGGGAGGGAGAGAGGAAGGGAGGGAGGGAGAGAGGGAGGGGAGATGAGAGGTTTTGCTGGGAGAGTTTTACAGAGACAGGAGAGGAGGAGAAGGAGCCAGAAGATTAGAGCAGATTGCTGGAGTTAGTTTGAGACCAAGCAGAGCAATTTAGGGGCCAAGAAAGAAGCCAGATTGAGTAAGTCAGCTGGGAGAAGAGTTTGAGCCAGAACAGCTGAGCTGAACCAGCCAGCCAGTGCTCAGTAAGAACAAGAAAGCGGGAGGTTATTCAGCAGTGAGTCTCAGAGGCTGAAAAACTTCTAGGCCTAGGTTAGATTGTAGGGAGGCTAGAAGCTTCCAGGGTTAGGCCTGGGTTAGCGGGACAGAGGCAGTAAGCTTCCAAGACAACAATTGAAGCAGGAGAATAAAAGTTCCTTTTACACCTGAGAGGTGGAAGAATGAGGAAGGTAGGAGACAGTATGTCTGGGGCTTGCTCAATAGATGGCACTAGCATGGGCACCCAGGAGCCAGAAAGAGGTCTGACCCCTGTGCACAGGCCAGGGGTCTGTACAGACGGAGGGATCCACGGGTGCAGGCGACCCACGACCAGGCACTGGGCATCTGCACAGAGCGACTCTCCTCTGTCTCTCGGTCCCCTCTGTAACAGTTGTTATGCTGCAAGGCATGTCCCCGTCACTCTGTGCAGAGCCAGACCTTTAAAGCTCAGGCTACTGAAGACAAGCCAGGAGTCCCTGTGAATGCCAGCCTTCCAGCCTGGACACAGGATGTGGGTCAGGAAGCCTCCATCATCCCGCCACCCTTTCCGTTGCTGGCCGAGTGCAGAGCACCACGGAGCAGGTGCGGTTATCCCCGTCTAACCTTCTGTGCCACGGAACCAGCGAGCCTAATAGAACGGTTCTCCTTCCCCGCTGGGTTTGGGCGGTCTGTTTTGCAGCCGTAGGGCAGAACAGCGGCTCCTTGAGTAACTTGCGTTATTGTAATAACATCGCTTTTCATGCAGAAACAAAAAAAAAAAAAAAAAAAAAAAAAAAATCCATCTCCCCACGCACACCACTGTTTGAACCTTCCCAACAATTACTTCTGAATGTAAAATTAATGGCCTTCACAGCCCTCGTTAATTATGGCAGCATTTGCACAGGAGAACGAGCTAGTATGAAAAAGAAACTGGGAGTTAGGCTCTGCTTGACTGTGTGGAAACTGGCAAGGGCTCCGAACAGAGCCCGCTGTCCCAGCTGTGTGCCACGGCTCTTCTGTAGGCAGAAGAGGAGATTAGAGACACAGGCCTGTAACCCCAAAAGCCCCAAAGCCCCAGGCAGGAGGATGGTAAATTCTAAGCCAGCCTGGGCTGCAGTCATGGTTTGAATCTCAAATGTCCCCCACCGTCTCCTGTATCTGGATGAGTGGTTCTCAGTTGGTGGTGCTGTTCCCAGAGGCTGTGGGACCTTGGGATAGGAAGCAGAGCTGGAGGACAGAGTTCAAGGGGGCAGAGCGTGTGGCGGGGGAGGGGGGCGGCTACTGCCGGGCTCTGCTTCTGGTTTGGTTGTCTGTGCTCAGCCAGACCCTGCAAAGAGTGAAGAGCATGGGGCTCAGGCTCCCACCACTGTGACTGACGGTCCCAGCCAACCATGCCTTCCCCACAAGGATGGACTGTGTCCCCCATATCCATAAGCCGAAATAAACCTTCCCTTAAATTAGAGCAGGAACTTTGTCACAGTAGCAAGAAACATAAGCGACAAACAGAGGGACGCTGTCTGGCAGAAAGGGCAGGGATGCTGGGGGGACCCAAGAGGGGGGACCCAGAGCCCTGCCCTGTCCAGGCAGCCGCCATCTCTCCTCGGCCAACCGGGAAGTCTGTCCCTTCTTCATGAGTAGCAGGTGAAGGGCACACCGAAGGCTGAGCTGCTGGGGTCACAGCAAGCGTCAGAGTTGTCCCAGGGCTTTGAGTGTGCTAGGCAAGTCTTGTCCCTCTCTGGGAAGCAACGTTTGACTGGCTACCGAAATGCCACGGACAGGACAAGTTTTAGAAAACCCTGAGGGGCAACGGTGAATCGGTGTCCTCTAAGTGACAGGCAGGGCGGGGAGGCTCTTTGCTGGCAACACAGCCGTGAAGATCCACCCTCCAGAGGCTGTGGGGACCAGGCGCTGACGGCCAGGGCGCTTCCCTGTGAGTCCCTGCAAGGTGCTTTTGAAGAAATTTCTCCGGACCCTAAGGCCAGCCGGCTGTGTTCTAAGGCTTATCAGCTAAGCTCTCCGGCTGGCAATGGCGACGCTGCTGGAAACCCATACTGGGAAAGCTGAGGCAAGACTTTCACACCCCGAAGGCAGCCGGGGTGACACAGAGGTCCGGGGGAGATGACCCCAGAGGGAGACCCTGCCCCTGAATTCCTCCAAAAGGCTGGATGCGGGTGGCAAGGCCCCTTAATCCCAGCGCTTGCGAGGCAGGGCCAAGTGGATCTCTGTGAGTTCAAAGCCAGGTTGCTCTTCCTCGTGAGTTCCAGGACAACCAGGGCTACATATTGAGACTCTGTCTCCAAAAAAAGGAAAAAAAAAAAACCAGCAAAAATAAATTTAGAATTTGTAAAGATACTGAGAAACAGCCTCAGTTGAGCGTTTTCTCCTCCTGCTGGGGGAGGGGGAAGGGAGAAGGGAGAGGAGGGAACGCCTTTCATCCTGTTCAGAAAGAGCCTTAAGTTCTCAAGCACCGGGGCGGGGCGGCAGCGCCCCCTGGTGGTGGCCGCCCGCTGTCACCGAGCTCTGCAGACGCAGGGCAAGCTGCGTCCTGGACCCTGCGCCCCAAAGCAGGAAGGGGTGGGGTACCGGCGGGGCGGGTGCTTGTCACCCCGCCCTCTCCGTCCCACAAGGTCTTCTGATGCCCACAAGCTGATGGGTTCATAGTGCCTTGACCGCTGATGTCCACAGCTCAGATGCGGTTCCTGGAGCCCCGGGCCCCGTCCTCGGGCACCACCTCAGGTCCAAGGTAACCCGACAAGATCACATGACCCCATTCTGACCACCGAGAGGTGGGCCTCCTTGGGTGCTCATCCACCCACCACGTGGCACCATGAACCCACTCCACAGCACCTAGAGATGGGGCGGCCCACTATGTAGCCCAGGCTAGCCTCTTAACTGGTGACGAGCCTCCAGTTACAGCAGTGAGCTTAAGTGTTTTCTCAAATGGGTAGGAACTGGGCAATCACAGCCGGTCCCTGGTGTGTGCAAGGCCTTCAGCCCTCTCGTCCACGCACGTCTGTAAACTCAGAGACCCCTTAATCAAAACCGCCTTTATTATTTAAAGGGCACCCCCACAAGGGGTGCCTGGAAAGCAGCCCGCGGAGGACAGAGTCATATTTACACGGGGTGGGAGGGTGAGGCCGAGAGGCCCCAGGACTGAGTGGGCCGGCCACTGTGGAAGAGAAGTCCTTGGACCTGTGGACTGGATCCGAGAAGTTCCATGCGAGGCCCAGGGTGGGGCCTACCGTGCGGGGCTGCAGCCATCAGACCAAACTCGGGCTCTGGGGGCCTGCGCGGCGCAGCCCAGCAAGAGGAGGCGGGCTCAGGGCTGAGTCACCATGCCGCTGGCTTCGGAGTGAGTCTAGGGAGAGAGCCAGGGGCTTCCAAGGCCTTGGCCACCTCTCCCATCGCTCGGTAGCTAATCCCCTCCCCACCGAAGCCTCAGAAACCCACCTGTCCTCCTTAGTGCCCTCTGGTAGGTCCAAACACAGGTCTCCCCCACATTTTTACCATTCTCACCGCCCCAGGCAGCCCCCGACCTCTGCCTGCTCACCTTGATGGCCTGGAAAATCCACTCCCGGAAGTCAATGACTCTGGTGTACACTCCCGGCTTCTGGGCCAAGGCACAGCCTGTGCCCCAGCTGACAATGCCGCAGACACGCCACCTGGACGTCCCGGATATGCTGTCCTCACACACGAAGGGGCCGCCGCTGTCACCCTGTGTGCGTGGGGGGGGGATGGGACACCTGGCTGAAGGCCGCCATAGCTGGGGAGCCCCGTTCCCACTACCCCGGCTCCTCTATAGCGCTGGACCCGGGGGCTGCCCCCCGTCCCTCACCTGGCACGCGTCGATGCCGCCCTCGGGATAGCCAGCACAGAACATCTTGGCTTTGATCTGGTTGCCGTAGAAGTCAGGGCTGTTGCAGACCTCGTTGCTTATGATGGGGACCCGGGCCTCCTGGAGCACCACAGCCTGCTGGCCTGAGGGGATGGGGGGATGGTGGCCAGAACCGGCCCTCCCCTCCGGGCTCCCCACCGCATGGCCTTGGGGTCCCTTTGACGTTCACCTGGCCTCCCCTCCCCCCCCCCCCAGAGCGGCCTCAGGCTGACCCACTTGGACTCACCATAGTACTGTGTGTTACCCCAGCCGGTCACCGTACAGACCTTGCCGTCCACCAGGGCCTGTCCCGCCGCGGGGAGACACACCGGCTGAATGTACTCTGCGAGAGACAACACGCCAGCTTGGTCCGGTCCCCCGAGCTGGAGCTATCCGGCCCCCCCCCCAGCCTATCACTACCAAGATGGAACCTTCTCAGCCCCCATTGGCGCTACTTCCTCCAATCTTTCCCTTTCATCCCCAGTCATCCCAGGGAGCTGGGGTCGACTTTGCCTCAGGAGGGACGAGAGGCCAAGTCACCTGTCCAAGGTTTCCTAGAGGCCAAGGGCGTGATCAGAATTAGAACCCAAGTTGGCTTAATTCCCCAAGTTTGGGCTCTTACCCAAAAGCCCAGAGGCCAGAGGTGGGAAACAGGAAAGCAAACCCTTGACTTCCAGCTGTCAGAAAACTGCACTAATGAACACACAGGCCCCCACCGAGGTGGTGGGGTGTCCTTGCGTGGCGCACAACCCTGGCAAACAGTCCTGGCAAGCCCTCACGGTTGTGATGCTAACTGGGACTCCCCGAGCCTCGGCGTCTCGATGCAAAATGCAGACAGTGATCATGCCCCAAGCTGGGGTGACGGCTCGGCGCTGGAGTGCTCGCCCAAGGGTGCACAAGGTCCCAAGGTCGATCCCCAGCGCCTGCAAGAAAACGACGCCCGCACGCAAAATAACTCCCCTGCGGAAACCACGGTGAGGAGTGGATGCGGCCTTGAAAGCAGGAAGCGGCTGGAAGACTGAGGACAAACAGCCATAGAGCGGTGATCCTGGGAGGCCGTGGTGGGTGAAGCCAGTCCAGACGTGCCACACACCGAGGCCGGGGAGTCACTTAGCAACAGGCAGACACTCGGAGAAGAGTGTCCTCGGATGGTTCAGTCATTGAGCGCAGATCCTAAGAGCGGCCTTCGTGTGAATCAAGGCGCTGACGTCATGAGGCCAGCTTGTCTGACAGGACCTCGGTGTGGGTCAGACAGTCGCTCTGCCTTTGGCCAGAATGATCCTCGCAGCCGTAATCGGGCTCAGCGCACGCTGTCCCTGTTCCTGTTCCTATTGTTCATGGAGTTCTTTATCTTGGGTCTCTGAACGCAGCCCAGGCTGGCCCCGGACTCTTTCTGCCTCAGCCTCCCTGAGTGCTTTGACGACAAACGTCGTCCCCTGGCTCTCCACACCTTTTGTGAAGATGAGTCATTTCTTTTCGTTTTGTGTGCGTCGATTGGTGTTCTGACTGCATGTATGTCCGTGTGAGGGGGTTGGGTCCCCTGGAACTGGAGTTACAGACAGTTGTGAGCTGCCGTGTGGGTGCTGCAAAATTGAACCTAAGTCCCCTGGGAGAGCAGCCGGCGACCCTAACCGCTGAGCCGTCTCTCCAGCCCCCCGCCCCCAATCTTTACTTTTGATGTTTATTTTTATTCACATACGTGTGCACCCACGCACTCGAGTGCCTGTGGAGTTCAGGAAAGGGTGTTGGGTTCCACGGAGCTGGAATCAGAGGCAGTTGTGGACGGCTGGATTTGGGTGCTAGGAACTGAACTGAACGAGGGCCCTCTGTAAGATGAGCACGCGCCGTGGCTGAGACGTTTTCCCGCCCCTCTCCATACGTCCTCACCCTGCGTGATGTTTGGAGGGGGACGGCCTTCCGGAGGTTCCTTACTGCAGACTCGCGCAACTGTAACCTAGAAGTCCTACAGTTTTCCACGTTCAAGCGTATGCACGAGTCGTTGACTTTGGCATATTCCCGGGTTGGCACAACCGTTACCACGTGCCACTGTGGAACATTTTGTCTCCCCAAAAGGAAACTCCGATTCTTTAGGTATTTGCAACATCTCCACCCCTAACTTCGCGCCTACCTGAGGGGGCTATTCATTTATTTATTTAGAGTATCTTGTATAGCATAGGCTAGCCTCAAAGCCACTATGTGCCCAAGGCTAGCCTTGAACTCGATTCCCCTGCCGCCTCCTCCTCCTGAGTGCTGGTATGTCAGGCTTCATGCTCAGGTTACTACGACCAAATGGTTTTTCTTAAGAGCACTTGAGCGTTGGTTTTTCGAGTGACCATCTGAATCCCTTCTCTCTCGTGAGGAAAGGAACCACACAGTGACTGAGTCCCTTAGGAAGGTCCAGGTGGCTGCTTATGAGAGCCAAGCTACCTACCGTTCATGGCGAATGCCCAGTTTGTGCTGCCTCAAAATGGGTCTGATGTCTCCATGGAAACCTGGAGATGGAGCTACCCTATTTCACCGGCCCCTTCTCTGCCTCCCGAGTGTCTGGGGTCCTCAAGCTGAGGCTAGGCCTCCGGACTCACCTGTCAGAGGCAGGTGGCTGGAGAGGCGGACCAGGGCGATGTCGTTGCTGTTTTCCTCGCTGCTCGGGTCTCGGAAGGGAAGGTAGCCCCCATGGTAGATCACGGCCTGGACCCCCAGCTGCATGCCGTGGGGTGAGGTCCGGGCTACAGCTCCGGCAAACACCCTCCATCGAGACACGACCCTATTCCGCCTGCCGGGGACAGAAGGGACAAGTCTCGGGGCCTGGCCAGGCAGCCCTCCCTCCCGCCCTGGCCTAGGCGGCCCTGCTGGGGGGTGGGGGGGGCACTCACTCTGGAAAGCAGTGTGCAGCTGTCAGCACCCAGTCCCCGGAGAGCAGGGATCCCCCACAGAGGTGGGTGCCGTCATAGCGCAGGCTGACCTGCCACGGCCACCGCCCCAGGCTGCTGTCCTGGCCCCCCACAATGCGGTCCACCGGGAGCTTCCTGCGGCCACAGTCTGTGAGGAGGTGACAAGCGGGGTTTGGAATGGGAGGGAGCTGGGTTCCAGGTCATCTAGCCTAAGCCCCTGGGATGGGAGGAGACGCAGCCGTGCTTGTGGGAACAAGGCTGCCCTCAACCTTGGGGACATGACGTGTGGGGATCCTGGGCAGCTTGTGGGGGACACACTCCACCCTGGGGCCCCAGTCCCGGATCTAGAGAAGGTCTAAGGCCCTGTTCTCACCTTGGCAGATGGCGGTCACGAATCGGCCTCTAGGGCAGTCGCTATGAGAAACCACAGGACAGGGGTGGTGACGGAGAGACAAACCAGGGGACCAGTTAGGACGGTATTTGGAGGCCAGGGCTCCAGTGCCCCCCGCAGCCGCCCAGCTCACCACACAGAGATGACATCCAGCAACCTCTGAGCCAGAGGCAGGCCGCCCTCGTCCACGCAGAAGAAGCCTGATGTGCCGTTGGCGCCGGCGGTCCGCACATCCAGCTCGGAGTGCGCCAGGGCCCTGCGAGGGGGCCCGGGTCAGCCACCTCGCGCCCAGTGCCCATTCCCCTCCCTCCCCCGGGGGCCGCCCCAGTACCTGAGGAAGCCCATCTCCTCGCAGCCGAGCCCGGCCACCCTGGCGTTGGAGCGTGAGGAGCACAGCAGCCTCCAGGTCCCCTCTGTCTTGTCGAACACTGCAAGCCGCGAGTCCCCGGGGCTGACCTGCACTGCAGGGCGACAGATGGAGCCGGGCCTGGGTCCCACAGCCGGCCACCGGCTCCCCCACCGCCCGAAGCCCCGAGGGCTCTGGTCCTGCACCCAGCTGTGGCAACGCAGCCAGTACTAGCTGGGACTGCATAGGGGATGTTCCTAGAGAAATTATCTGACTCGGGGAGAAAGCGGGTGGGTGGGCGAGCCTGGGAAGGCTGGATGAACACTGTGGATGAATGAGTCCAGAGATCCTCTCTGGGTGCAGCCAGGCTTGGGGAACCACCAGGAGGGGTCGGAAACCCTTGGCTAATTCAGCAGGTTACCGAGACATTTAGATAAGCATTCCGAGGAGAAAAGAAAGATTAGAGGGGGCTTGGCAGGAGCGGGAACCCTGAAAGACGAATGTAATTCTAGCACTAAGAAGGCGGAAGGATCATGAGGCCACCCTGAACCACCTATTTAAACAAGGAGAGCCAGCTGTGGTGGTACAGGCACCTGGAATTTGTTGAAGGAGGATCATGAGTTTGGAGCTAGCCTGGGCTACACATTTTAGGAGGTTGCAGTGGTGCACGCCTTTAATCCCAGCACTCGGCAGGCAGATCTCTGTGAGTTCGAGGCCAGCCTGGTCTACACAGCAGGTTCCAGGACAGCCAAGGCTATGTAGAGAGACCCTGTCTCAAACAAACAAAAAATAATAATTATAAAATAAATAAAAGAGGAGGAGGGGAGGAAGAGGAGAACTCAGGATCTTCTATCAACAAAGCAAAATCTGGGAGATAAAATCAGACAGTGACTTCAGACTCCAGGGCCGCCTCAGCTAGGCAGGATGGCTTCCACTTATCACCCCAGCATTTGGGAGGCCAATGCAGGGAAAGTGCCATGAATCCGTGGCCAGGATGGGCTACAGCTCTAATTCCAGGCCAGCCAGGGTTACAGAATGAGACCATGTTTTAAAAAAAAAAAAAAAAATCAAAACAAAAGTCATCCAGACAAACCGGCAAGACTCAGGCATGAAAACACCTGTTATCCCAGCCCTCAGTAGGCTGAGGCAGGAGGATAAGTTTGAGGCCAATCGGGGCTACATTATGCCTCAGGACAGAATGAAGGATGGAATAGAGGAAGAGAGAAAGGGGGAGGGAGGGAGCCAGAATGCAGGACTGGGCTACATCAGAAGGCTAGCTCACAGCAATGGTAATGTCTGAACATGGCTGGGGCAGTCTCTGTGGCTGGCCTGTGCTTTCTGGCCCTCCATCCGTCCCCCCATAAGGTCAGCAAAGCTCCACTCACACCCGAGTCAGGGCAAGACCCTCAGAGACATTTCTTTGTATTTACCAAATACTTTGTACATGCTGGCTACTATTTTAGGCTCTGGACAAATCACACAAAATTTCTTCTCGTATGGAGTGCAGAGCCCAGGAGGGGAGATGGATAACGAGCAAGACAAAGAATGGAAACGTGTCCCACGTCGCTGCGGAAAGGGCCACGGAGAGAGGCGAGGGCGACAGGAGGAGTGGGGGGCTGGTGCATGGGGGTGGAGCGGCACTCTGATGTCAGTGGGCATGCAAGGACAGCTCTGCTGAGAAGGCGCTGCGTGAGCAGCGAGGAGAAAGAGGCGAAGGAGGTGGGAACGATGCTGAGATCTGAGCGGGGACCGAGAAGTAGGCCAGAGGAGCTAAAGAACAGACAGTGTAGATCTGAGGGCTGAGGCGGGGAGCTGGGTGAGGAGCAGCCAGGGGCCAGAGAGAAGCTGGCCGAGTTCGCTTGCAGCTGGACCAACATGCAGCCAGGCTGGGGCTCAAAGCTGGGCACAGGGAACAGGGGTGCATGAGTTCCTTCTGGCTGCTAGTGGGGGCAGACTGTAGGGCAGGAACTGGAGCCCAGACTATGACCTCAACGTGGCAGGGACAGCGGCAAGGCTAGCAGGTGACAGCACAGTGAACATAGCTGGATTCTGGCAATATTTTGAATTTTTTTTTTCTGGGAATATTTTCTAGGCAGCGATGTAGGCCCAGAGGCACAGGCCTGTCTCTTCACCTACTTAGTAAACTTTGGCTAGTGGATCAAAAATCCAAGGCTATGGAGTGAGTTCAAGGCCAGCCTAAGTAACTTAGAGAAAAGGGACTCAAAGTAAAAAGTAAAAAAAAAGCGCTAGTGTCATTCTTGCTCAGCAGGAGAGCATCTGCCTAGAATCCCCCAGTGAGGAGCTGGAGGCAGGGGGGCTCAGTGTTAGAACCCCTGCCTAGAATCACCCAGTGAGGGGCTGGGGTGTGGCTCAAGGGCAGAGCCCCTGCTTAGAATCCCCCAGTGAGGGGTATAGATGGCTCAGGGGTAGAGCGCCCCTGCCTAGAATCCCCCAGTGAGGGGTATAGATGGCTCAGTGGTAGAGCCCCTGCCTAGAATCTCCCACTGAGGGGCTGGGGAAATAGCCCAGTGGTAGGGTGGCCTGCCTGCATGCATGAAGCCTTTGGTCCATTCCCTAACACCAATCAATCAATCAATCGATCAATCCATGGAATGTACATCTCACAGATGGCGCACTAAACATCAAAGGTTGTACTTGTTCATTGCAGACCACTAACCACCAGCCAACCAGGATTTGAACTCAAAGTGCCCGCCGGCTTCCGATTTCTCTGCCTCATGCTGGGGTCTCTGAGGGATTCTTTCTTTCTCTGCCCAGCACACACTCATCCAAACCAAAAGCTAGCATGCTGTAAATGTGGCCTCCGGCTCTGCGGTCCATCAAGTACCGCCTGGCACCTCCTGCCTAGCGGTGCCCACCATCCCCTGAACTCCCAGGATCAAGGCAAGAACAGCAACTCAGAGTCAGCAGCCAGCACCCCCAACTGCTCAAGAGATTTCCGACACATTGGGCGTCTCCGGAGGGGGAAGTACTGTTTTTATGGATGTGCGCCGGAAAGAGACGGGCAACACCACGTGCTTTCTTTTTCGCCTGTTTCTGGGTGTAAGGAGACCAGGTCTCCCTTGGCAGCCCAGCCAGGCCTGGTGTTTGTGAGCCTCTTGCTTCAGCCTTCGGCGTGGCCCACGTGGTTTGAAAGTCACAGTCTGCGCTGGGTTTGTCACCTTGAAAGCCTGCCTTCTGGTGTGCCGTACATCACCAGGTGATGCTCGGCGAACCGTCGGATCTATTCAGAGGTGTGACCATCCCAGAACAGCCTGAAGTGGGGATACAGTCAAGCTTGTGTTTTCTTGTCTGCACTATCACACCTCAGGGTTCCGGAAGGCGCTACTGACAGGGCGCAGGCACTGGCGGGAGCTCCGTCTGAGCCGGAGGTCCGTGTTACGACCGACCTTGCCTAGTTGGTCTAAAGTTTGTCTCTGTGCTTCTTTTCTTTTTCTTCCTGGGTTTCCGAGACAGGGTCCTTCTAAATGGCCCGGGCTAGCCTCGAACTTTCAGTCTTTTCGCCTCAGCTTCTCACATGCTCGGATTACAAGTTTCCCAGCTCTATCTCTTCTTAAGCGAGACCTCTTGAGCACCTACTATGTGCCACAGATGACCTGATCTGTGAACAAAGCATCTTGGCCTTCCTGAGGCCAACATTAACAGTCAATGTGAAGGGTCCATTGGGACAGCTGGGAGGCTGTGGGTGGGAGGTTTTGAGCTTTAGGAAGGCCTTGCTCAAGGAGGGAGGCACAGATCCCTTTCTGTACGATTTGGCTGAGAGCTCAGCCTTGCATGGATAAACCGGACAACCAATTCCTCTTTTCCCACTTGGCTCTGCTCACCCCATATCCCAGGTGAGGAAGAAGGCCCTCTCAGAGGGTCGCAGCTCAGAAAGGACAGAAAGGCACCCCAGTTCCGGGGGTGGGGGGGGACTGTTGAATCCCGTCTTGTCAAAAGGACAGTGGAGTGTCCTTTTGGGTAGGGAGGCCGGCTGTGATCCCAGCTACTTGGGAAGCTAAGACAAGAAGAATTTAGGTTTAAGGATAGTTCAAGAACAGCCTGGTCAACTTAGCAAAAATTCTGTCTCGAAAAGAAAATTAAAAAAAAAAGGGGGGGGGCTGGAGTGTAGCTTAGTAGAGTAGTTGGCCAGAATCCCCCAGTTAGGAGCTAGAGGCAGGGTGGCTCCGTGTTAGAGGCCCTGCGTAGAATCCCCCAGTGAAGGATTGGACTGTGGCTCAGTGATAGAGCCCTTGCCTAGAATCCCCCAGTGAGGGGCTGGGGTGTGGCTCAGTGGTAGAGCCCCTGCCTAGAATCCCCCAGTGAGGGGCTGGGGTGTGGCTCAGTGGTAGAGCCCCTGCTAAGCAGTTAAGCATGTGTAAGACCTCCAGTACTACAAAGGAGGAGAAGGTAAAGATGAAGGTGAAGGTGATAATGACACTAGAGGGATAGGGACTTTAGGAAGCAGGGAGCAAGGGGAAGCCCTGAGATTGGAGTCCAGAGAGATAGATTTGCAAGCCAAGGTGAACTGTCCGTCAGACAGGGGACCATGTCCTAAGAGTCTTTAGGGTTGGGATTCCATCCCGGCACCGTGTGGATCAGCAGGGCCTGCTGATCTCCTTGCTCAGTCGTTTACTGACCCATGGTCCTCAGCGAGTTGGTCTACTTCACAGAGCCTCCGTCCTCTCCCTCCCACCCCATATGCAAAACAGCGGGATGACAAGAGCCTTAGACTTCAGCCAGGCCTGGGGTGTTAGCTTGCACTACCAATGCTGAGCAGCAGGCACACGGGACTACCGCCTGAGAGCCGGGCTGCTGTGACCCGAGGAAGAGTCAAGAGTCTCACTGCGTAGCCCAGGCTATCCTCCATCTCAGACCCTTCCGGTCTCCTGAGCATGGGAAGGCATATGCTACCGTGCTGACCCTCGGCCCGTCTGCGCCTCCACTCTGCATGAAAACGGGCTGTTGTAGGACTCCACGGGCCAATACCGTCGAGTCCCGGGGCTGGTCCCTAGCCAGAGGTCGGTGTTTCTAAGTTCAGTCTGAATGACTGAGTCCAGCGCCAACTGTTCAGACCCGGAATCTCGTTTCTTCGAAAAAGCATGCTCCGCCCAGCCATCGCCACCCCCTTCCGCCCCCCTGGGTCACGGGGTTGCAGGTTGGAGGTGGCCTTGGGAAAGCCTCATCCCTTCACGCCGCGTGTGATTTCTGCCTGTGTTCCTGTGGCTGCTGCTTCCGTGTACTGCGAACATGCCTCCCGCAGTCTGAGAGCAGTTCCTGGCTCCATCGTTCCGGGCCACCTGCTCCGTGGTCTTCCGTCTCATGGATGTATGAAGGACAGGCAGAAGCTGCTGGGTCCTCACAGCCAGGAGTCGACTCAACTCATCCTGCTTCTCTGGAATGTGTCTTGACCACACGTGTAGCCATCACAATTTATAGCACGCCGGGAGCTCTGCGGTCCAGGGCACACTGTCATGTCGTCAAGCCTCAGTTTCCCCATGTGTCACAGAGGAGAAGAATAGCCCCACATTCAAAAGGGTTTTAAAGCTGTGTGTGTAAGAGCAAATAAGCTAAAACACGTCATTCCTTCCTTAAGTCCTGCCTACCTTGGGTTTGAGACAGGATCTCGCACTGCCTGGAGGCTCACCAGTTAGGCTAGGCTAACTGAGGGAAACCAGCGGCCTCCCGTCTCTGCCTCCCCAGGGCTGGGATTTCACGTGTGCTCCATCATGCTCTGCTTTTTCACATGGGTTCTGGGACGTGAACTCGAGTCCTCAAGCACCTGGCTGACTGAGCCATCTCCCCACCTCCAATTTCAGGGTGTTTTTTTGTTTGTTTGTTTGTTTGTTTAGTTTTTAATGGCGTCTTCAGATGGGTGTGGTGAGGCACTGCTCATAATCCCAGGACTTGAAAGATGGAGGAGGGATGATCAGGAGGTCCAGGATTCTCCATAGTAAGTCTGAGGCCAGCCTGGGTTGCAGGAGCCCTTGTCTCAAAAATAAAACTAAAAACAAAATTGTTTCTAACTGCGTAAGCTACCTACTGGTGAGTTGTCTAGGGGCTGGATAAAAGCTAGCAGGGTGGGGCTGTGTTGCTTGCAAGGGAGTCCCCCGAGTCCCTTAGACTAAAGCCTATGACTTAGGCACAGTGCTTCGTGCCTGTAATCCCATCACTGGGAAGCTGAGGCAGGAGATTGCCACAAATCTGAGGCCAGCCTGGGTGAGCTCTAAGCCAGCCTGAGCTACAGACAGTATTCTGGTTCAAACAGCCTGAGAGGCACCGAATACAAACACGGCTATCAGTCCCAAGGACACTCTGAGTTCTCCGCCGCGGGTGTCCCCGGGCCCTGCTGTACTCACCTGGGTACAGCGGCTCCTGGTCACTCCGCAAAAGGATGGTCACTGTGGAGAAAAGGGAGGTGAGGGCAGGCAGCTTGCTGCCCTCAGGGGAGGGGAGGCCTCAGGATCTGGGGAGGGAGATGCTCTCACCAATGGCCCAGGAGGCGGCCCCAATGCCCGTCAGGAGAAGCAGGGTCCCCACAGTGAGAGCTGCCACCTTGGGTCCAGAGCAGCACGGTGTAGTCCGGCCACCTGCAACAGACACCAAGCTGGGGCCACTGCCAGGCTTGTCCTCAGCCAGCAGGGCTTGGGCACTGGGCCAGTACCCTGCCAGGGAATGCAGGGTCCCTTATCAGGCTGGGGCCTGTGGTACTTCAACTGCCAGGGCTGGGCAGTTGGCAAGGCTGTCCCTCTCCTGTCGCGTGGACAGCCAGGTGTCCGGCTCCCCAAGGGTTCCAGCTGGAAAGAGGGGTCTGGCTGGGACTGTGGCCACCTCCCTGCCCCCTCCCTGGTGCTGGCGGTTACTCCGCTCCAATGACAAGGCAAAGCACTCTGGACTTTCCCTGCTGTGCGTCCTGCCAGCCTGTCCCCAGACTCTCTCTCTCCCTTGCTAACTTTTCCAGAAGTTCTGACAACTTTGAGGTGTCTGTGACCTCTGACCTTTACCCTCTTGGTAAGCTTAAAGCCAGATGTCTTTGTCACGAGACCCGGCTCCAAGATCAAATTTGTCCCTGGGAGATTGAGAACCCAAGTTTTACTTAGCTGAACTCATTTTGGTTTTTTTCTTTCTTTCTTTCTTTCTTTCTTTCCTTCCTTCCTTCCTTCCTTCTTTCTTTCTTTCTTTCTTCCTTCCTTCCTTCCTTCTTTCCTTTCTTTCTTTCTTTCTTTCTTTCTTTCCTTCCTTCCTTCCTTCCTTCCTTCCTTCTTTCTTTCTTTCTCTTTCTTTCTTCCTTCCTTCTTTTCTTTCTTTCTTTCTTTCTTTCTTTCTCTTTCTTTCTTCCTTCCTTCCTTCCTTCCTTCTTTCCTTTCTTTCTTTCTTTCTTTCTTTCTTTCTTTCTTTCTTTCTTTCTTTCTTTCTTCCTGTGGCTTTTTGGGTTGCTTTGTATTATGATGGTGTCTTGCTCTGTAGCAATGCTGTCATCTAATTCATCATGCAGTCCAGGCTGGCCTCAAACTAGTGACAGCCTTCCTGCCCTGCCTCCCTAGTGCTGGGATGATGGCCACGTGCCATCATACCTGCTTTTGTTGTTGTTTTTAACTCATTTATTTATTATCTACACAGTCTTCTGTACCGCACGAGTGCCTACAGGCCAGAAGGGGGCACCAGGTCTCACTATAGATGGTTGTGAGCCACCGATGTGGGTGCTGGGAATCAAACTTCGGTCCTCTGGAAGAGCAGCCTTTGCTCTTAACCCCTGAGCCATCTCTCCAGCCCTGGTTTTGGCTTTTCTAAGACAGGGTTTCTCTGTGTACCTTTGGCTGTCCTGAAACTTGCTCTATAGACCAGGCTGGCCTCGAACTCAGATATTCACCTGCCTTGGCCTCCTGAGTGCTGGGATTAAAGATGTGTGTCACCACCTCCTGGCCTATGTTTTGTTTTGGTTTAGTTTTTGGGTTTTGTTTTTGTTTTTGTTTTTTGAGACAGAGTTTCTCTGTGTAGCCTTGGCTTCCCTGGACTCCCTTCAACTCACAGAGATCCTCCTGCCTCTGCCTCCCCGAGTGCTGGGATTACAGGTGTGTGCCACCACGCCTGGACTATGTTTCTTGTTTGTTTTTTGTTTTTTTACAGACAGGGTTTCTCCATGAAACTCAGGCTGGCCTCAAACTTGTGCCCCCCCCCCCCCCCCGCTCTGCCTCCTGAGTGCTGGGATGACACACATGTCCCAACACGCCTGGCAACCTCACTTGGAAATGGTGGCCTTGAGAAGATGGCTCAGTGAGTGAGAGCGTTTGCAGGGCAAGCATCGGGACCAGAGCTGGGACCCGGCACCCTCGTAAATTACCCGGTGTGGTGCTGGGCACCTGGAAACCCAGCGCTGTTGGGGTGAGCAGAGACATGAGGGTCCCCGGGGCTTGCTGGCCACCAGCCCAGCTGCAAGCTCAGGGAGACCCCATTTCAAGGGATATGACAGTAACAGAGCTCTCAATGCCCTCCTCGGCGCCCTCCCCAACACGGGCACAGGTGCCCGCACCCACATACACACACACACACACACACATGCACGCACACACACACGAACATATACTCATCCACATGTGTGCCCGTGTGCATTCGCACACAGCAAATAAATAAAGGAAAGGAAAAAGCAAGCTAGCGTCCTTACCCTTTCCCGGCTGAGGTCTTGGACATGTGGAACCACCTCTTCGAGCCCCGGGTTCCCCATCTGTTGAACAAGCATGCACCTAGCGCTCACTTTTTAAATGGCTTTAAAGTTCTTTAAATACACATCATAGCCAAGCCCTCCCACCCCCACCCCGGCCAAATACCTCCCACCAAACACCTAGCATTTAGACTCTATCTTTCTCCCACATCACGGTACCCTTTCCCCCATGGCTCTGAGAGATGGAGCCAGCACATCTCCAGTGACTCAGCCTGCAGTCACCTCCTAAACCCTGGGCACACTGAGACCCAGGCCCAAAGTATTTCCCCAAGAAACCAAACCACCTCTTGCTGTGCCATCGTGCCTGACATACATCAGGTCCTTAGTAAATGTCTCTAAGCTGTTATCGCTGTGTGATCATGGGCAGCCGTCACTGCCTCTCTGAGCCTCAGTGTATCGGTATGATAAAACTCTACTCCAATCGGTCTGTTAAGCAAGGTAGGGTTGGGCATCAAGTGGGGCTTCTGAGAGGAGAGGGGTAGACTCCCCAGGAAGAGATTGTCTAAGACCTGCAAACAGGGCTAACGGGGCACAGGCTAAGACGAGCATGCAAGACTGCTAGACAAGACAGCTCATGCCTAGCCTTCTAGGCAAGGGGAACGAGCTGGGGGAAGGCCGTGGGAGGCATGGCTAGGAGGCCCAGCAGCCTAGAGAGGAGGACTTCTGCCCCGGAGTAACAGGGATCCTGGAGCCTGAAGCAACTGCTAAGAAAGCCTTCTGCTGACCCCAGCCTCTGCAAAGTACTCTCAAGGCTGCAAGAGCACCAGCTCTCACACCCATGTCCCTGGTGGCATGGCTACTGGCCACAGTACCAGACCAGCACTGGGAAGAGAGCAGGGAGTGGCGCAGGATCTTGCCAGGGCAGTTCCTGGTTAGTGATTTAAGACAATGGTGTCACTTACAGAGGAAAGTAGCTCAATAGTGTGAGGATTGGGCATGCCTGTCCTCCCAGCACTGACCACCACGCTGGGTGCTGGGGCTCCTGCAGCCTCTACACACCTTCCCTTTACATCTACCACATCCCTTGCTGGTCACTGTGTCTCCAAGCCTGCTGCTGCTCCTCCTCCTCCTCCTCCTCCTCCTCCTCCTCCTCCTCCTCCTCCTCTTCCTCCTCCACCTCCTCCTCCTCTTCCTCCTCCACTTCCTCCTCCTCCTCCGCTTCTTCTTCCTCCTCCCCCTCTTCCTCCTCTCCCCACAGCAGTCCTGTCTCAGCCCCTCATCCCCAGGCCCTCCTCCTTTCCTCACAGCAGTCCTGTCTCAGCCCCTCAGCCCCAGGCCCTCTTCTCTCCTCCTCATAAACCCTCATCCCACAACCTCCTTTTAACTCCTGATCACTTCCTTCCTGCTCCAGCTTGCCAGCTCTGAGCCCTGCATTCATTGTACATGCTTGGTTCCGAATTGGCTCATCTCCCTGGTGGTCCCTCTACACAGAAACCTGGGAAATGTAAGTGGGAAGTCCAAACTGTCCCTTCTCTATCCATAACATTCCCCTGGGCCTCCCTGATGCTCTGGACCCAGCATTTCCAGCATGATTTGTAGAGAGCAGAGTCACGAATATATGTCTCTTCAAATTCTCAGACATTGGCCATTATCAGACACCTAAAACAATTTCCACAGAATGTCCCAACCATAGAACTCACAGAGTGCTGACTAGGAGCCTGTCATCCCAGCTTTCAGGAGGCTGAGGCAGAAGGATTGTTCAATTTGAGGCCAGCCTGAGCTGCATAGTGAGACTAAGTGTCAAAACAAAACAAACAAACAAACAAAAAACTAAGGACATGGCTCAGTGGTGGAGCCCCTGCCTAGAATCCCCTAGTGAGGGGCTGGTGGTGTGGCTCCGTGGTAGAGCCCCTGACTAGAATCCCCCAGTGAGGGGCTGGGGTGTGGCTCAGTGGTAGAGCCCCTGCCTAGAATCCCCCAGTGAGGGATGGGGTGTGGCTCAGTGGTAGAGCTCTTTCCTAGCATGTATGGGGGCTTGGTTTTGATCCTTGATCCTCAGGGGTAAAGAGAAAAAGAGCTAGAGCAATCCCCAGCACTAAGCAGACCCCACTATACCAAGGATTCTCCCCAGGTTGGTCAGCCACAGACACTATCTCCAGCAAACAACTGCCCTGAGCACCATGCCCCACCTTCCTGCCTGGCATGCCCCCCTTCCTCCCTGATCATCCTTTGACTTGCAACTCACACATCACTCCTAAACCCCCAGCTCCAGCATATCCATGCTGGGGGCCCAGAGCACACATCCACTGTCTTCGTGGTCCCACAAACCCCAGCAGCTGCCACTGCAAAGGCTCATGGGATAGCACAACACCCATTCACTGTCCTTTGCCTCCCTTCAACCCGTGCCACAGCTAACGAGGATGGAGGCGTTATCACCAACCCTTCGCTTTTCCAGTGCTGCCCTCCCTGAGCACAGAGAGCTGCCCGGGGGCTCAGGGAACACACTCTGTGTCTTCCTTGCAGCCAGCCATCCAGGCTCTCTCTCCTTTCCCTCCCTCGTAGTCCCTAGCTCTGATGCCTCTTTGTCAATCATCTCCAGGAAAAGAAACGGTCCCAAAGGGGTCAGATTCCGTCCTTTGCCTGATCACGTTGTCCAAAGCCATCCCACCACAGTTCCCATCTCCATTTTACAGAGGAAACAGACACCCGGAGAGGATATGGCCTGTCCAAGGCCACACAGCTAGAAAGTGCCCAGGACTGAACTCAGCTAGCCTGGCTCCAGGAGGACAGTCAAGAATGGGGCTGGGGAAGGTGGGGGAGGGGAACTACCCCCCTTCTCCAGTTGGTCCCCAAGTACAGATAAAGGAGAGAGCGAGGCTGGCCTCCAGTGTGAGCGTCTCAGTCAACGCTGGAGTTCTCTGTCTCTCCCGTCTATCCATCCAGATCAAGTCCAAAGTTCCCCTTCTGCTCTTTTGCCCACAAAGCCAGGAGGTAGAAGGAACAGGCCTGGAACCGTGGGGTTCTCGGGTCTTTGGTTCCTGGGGCCCCACAGTGACCGACCTCCGTCAGAACACCTCTGGGACACAGCACGTATCTCACGCCCCAAAGTCCCAAGCCGCTGCCTGTGTGTCCCGTGATCCTAACAACCTCACGGAGGGAACATTAGTTTCCGTCCATACTTGACTGCAGGGAAAGGTGGGACTGAAGCCCAGAGATGCGATGCTACCTGCCCAAGATCACACAGCAAAAGGCAGCAGAAGCGGCCTGGCCAAGATGGCACCAGCAGCAGCCCCCACCTCAGCCCCCTGAAGAGGACATGTCGTTCATTAGTTGAGAAATCCGTGGGACATGAGGGGAAACTGAGGCAAGGCACTGGGAAGGTCATGTGGGGTGGCGGGGAGGCACAGCCACACAGAAGGGTCAGTTAATAGTTAATCAGATGGACGAGGACTTTGGGGGGCATCGGTCTTGAGTCTGACATGAAGGACCCCAAGACAGGGGGCTGGGTACCGGCTGGGAGACAGAGCAGAAGAGGGGTGCCAGATAGGGCCAAAGCTGGGGGTCGGGGACAGGGGGACTCACCCTCCTTCTTCGCCATGTCAGGGACTCTTGTTAATGATTCCCAGGTTGACCTGTTGGGCTGGGGCGGAACCTAGAGACAGGAACAAGGAGGTACGGCCAGGGGGAGCCTGTCCTGGCTCTGTCCGGGCGCCCCCAGTCCCAGCCTCTCATCCAGGGAGCAGCTGGCCCTGGGCTGGAGCCAGAGCATGCAAACGGCGGTGGTCGGGCCGGGGTCAGCGGTGGCAAGGCATGACCAACCACCAGGGGGACACCTGGAGTGGCAAGGCAGAGCCCGGAGGGCCGAGGTTGAACTTCCAGCGGACTCGAGGGTTTTGAGGGAAGTCTGGGATTTCTGAGCTAGTAGGCAAAGCAGGCTGGAGTAGCCTGGGGTTTCTCGGATCCCCTGGGCGGACTTGTGGGCGTCAGACTGGTGGAGGGACAAGGGACTCCGAATTCTGTGCCTTACCCTGGGGTTCGCCGGAGATGGTGCAGATTTGGGGTTAGTCTCCGGGCCTGGGTAGGGGCATGGTGTCCCCACAGCGGCGGGCAGCCCGGGAGGCAAGGATGGCAGCAGCGGCCAGCGGCGTGGGGCCTGCCGAGCCTGCGGCCTCACCTGAGGAGGAGGGGGCTGAGTGGGAGGCGGGGACGGGGCGGGGAAGGGCGGACCCCAGGACTGGCTGCCACAGAGGCCACCTGGCCGATGGGGCGGGGCCTGCAGGGGTTGGGCCAGGCAGGTTCAGCCACCAGCCTGGCCTCCCACCACCCTCGGGACTCAGGTGTGTGTCCTGTGACGACCTGGGGGTGCTCAGAGGCCCGAAGGCTGGGATTCCAAACTGGAGGAATGTGCCGGAGAGTTCTGTCTGCCCCAGGTCCACCATGCTTGTGGCCATGTGGTCCTCCATTCGCATTTTCTTCCAGTCCCCTGCCCTCCTCTGATCCAGTGCATGCCACCATAGGCCTCTAGCCCTTCCTGTCCCTAGCGTGGTCCAGCCCCTCCCCCAACCACTTCCCTACAAGTCACGGGGGTGGTTTGTTTTGGCAGCCGCTGTGCTGCCTGCCCAGTGACCTCTGGAGCCCGGGAAAGTCCTGATAGGGGGATGGGGGGCTTGGCCCTGAAAACGCAACACTGGTTGCCCAGGCCCAGGCCCAAGCCAAGTGGCCGGAAGTGGCTAGCCACAAGTGCATCCGGTCCCACCAGCAGGCAAGGGCCATGTGCGTCAGACCCCAGACCCTGAGCCAGATGAATACCAGACAGCCGGGAGGCCATCTATATACCTGCCTGTGGCCTGGCTGGCATCTGAATCACAACAGCTGTCCTCACACAGCAGGCCACCTGCTTGTCCTCTCTGCCTGTTCCCATACCTCATCCGGGCATAGATTTGAAGCCTCTCTCAGGCAGGGCCACCTTGGTTCTGCCTGGCCCATGGGCCTGATTGGTCTCCTTCTCGCTCCTGTCTCTGCCCTTATCTCTCTGCTTCTGGTCTCCGTCCTTCTTGCTGTCTCAATGTACTGCCCTCTCCTCTCCAGAACTTTTTTGCTCCCAGTTCTCAGCACAGCAAGCCCCACAAGACCCTAACGCCCAGCTGTCTGTCCCTGTGAGTCCCGAAACCACCTTCTGGATTGCTGTCCTTTACTCTTGCCCCCTGAAATAATGACTCCCAGCGTCACAGCTGGGACACTCTAAGCCACTTCGTCAGCTCTGGGTGGTACTCTTGAAAGTACCCATCAGATGCCCTGACGCTTGCCGGGAAGGAGGGTTCCCATAAGACACCATGAGGCCCTGGGATTGGAGTTGTGGGGGCACAGAGGTCACTGCTGATGAGAGAATAGAGACTCGAGTCCAAGAATCTTTATTTCATGAACAAAACTACTTCTGTAAAGACAGGAGGCCGAAGAGGCCCTTCCCAAGAGACCACAATTGAAGGCTGGTGAGAGAGGGCGGACGGGCCAGGGCTAGGAGGTGTCACAGGGAGGGAACCCCAGGTCCAGCCGGAGGAAGCGGAGGGGAGATGAGGCCCAGAACCCCCTGCCCACTGCTGTCCCTGTCCTGGCCCCTCTTGACCTTACAAGCAGGGGTGGGGCCGGCTGGCCTGGCAGTGCGTGTGGGAAGTGGTCTATGTGCAAATCAGCAAAAAGAAGGGGCGGGGCCTGCCCCCTCACCTCACCGCCCCCCTCCCCCAAACAGGCAGCAAAAGCAGGGTGGGGCGGCCATATTGCTTCACCCATCATGCATGGCGGTGGGAGGGTGGGTGGGAGGCGGTGGGTGAGGTGGGATCAGTCCCTGCCTTCTTCCACCCTGGTGGCTCCTCTGCAGGACTGTGAGGCTAGGGAGATGGATGGGCCGATCCCCACTGCCGGGGCAGGGTACCCACCAGGGGCTGATCCCCACTGCAGGGCGGGAGGGTACCCGTAAGGGCTGGCTCTTCCTTGAGGCAGAGCCCAGGGCCTGCAGGGTAAGGAGAAGTGGATGCTTAGAGAGAGACACAGTCCCTGAACCCTCCCCACTGACGATGCCCAAACTGGCCCACTCCGGCATCCTTACCAGCGCTATTCAGCCACCTGGACTCCTGTACAGTTCTCTTTGCTCTCGGAGGTAATGGCCAGGTATTCCGAGCTGTACAGGGGCAAGGCAAGGCAGACAGTGACCCCAGGGCCCAACCCTGAGGCTGGAGAGGACCGTGGGCTAGGCTGGGCCTCCCCTGAGTCTGAATGGGCAGCCTCTCTAACTACAGGGCACCTCTGTGACATTCAGGAAGCTGTGTGGGCACACTTCCTACAAGCTGTAACTCTGCCACCGGAAGGCTTGGGTTGGAATCCCGGGTTTGCTACCTGGCAGCAGCTGCCGCCCTCCAGTTCTCCAGGTTTCCGTTTTTTGTTTTGTTTTTTGTTTTTGTTTTGTTTTGGTTTTGGTTTTCCTCATCTGCAGGCAACTGCTTACTCTATCGGCCCCTGACGCATGCTCCGAGCACCGGCTGGCACCTGGGCGGCCTCGGCCCTCCTCCCCGGCCCCACTCACGCGTTCTCTTGCGCAGCGGCTTCCGTGGCAGCAGCAATCTTCTTGTAGCAGTACACCATCTCTGCCACAAGCCATATGGTCAACACCACAATAAGCACATACATCATGATCTCGGACACGATGGACGCCATGTCTCTGTTGGCTGCAGGGGCCGGGCAGGGTTTGAGGAGGAGGCGGCAGAGGCTCAAGAAGACAGAACAGTGCCTCCCCCATCCCCCCACCACCCCTGTGTGGAATGCTTGCTGTGTGAGCTCAGGCAGGCTGTTCAACCTCTCTGAGCTTTTCTAGAGGTGTTACAGTTGCTGACGGTGACAAGGTGCCGGGATGGGCCTACCGTCAACCTGCCTCCCTGGCGGCGTCTGCGGCCTTCAGGAGGTCTGCGAACCGTGCAGACCGGAAGCCTCGGGTTCAGAATCTCACCTCGGCCAGCTGTGTGGCCTTGAGAAAAATGCCTGCCCCCGACTTTCGGTGGGTGTTCTTGCTTTTCGCTGTGGGAGTGGGAAAGGCTACGGAGGAAGGGCTACGGGGGGGGGGGGGGGGGGGGGAGTCGCCGCTCTGTCAGATGAGGAGGGAAACACTCAGAGCCGCCGGACAGAAGCAGCGGAAGAGCACGGAGTGTGGCGGCTGGCGTGGCTCGGCGCGGACTGTTTTCGGGAAAGCGTCCATGCTTTCCGCAGCGCTGGCCTACCTCTCCAGCTTCCTTTCATGGGGCCTAAATTTAAACTGTAAAGGGAGCAGGTCCAGCCAGGGGACTGGAAAGGAATGGCACCTTGGCACTGGTCCTCAGCCGGATTTGGCAGGTGTCCACCCTGCGTCCCTGGCCCCCTTGGTAGCCAGGATCTCATTCCCCCCCGCCCCACCCCTGCTGGCCCATAAGTCCTTCCTCTCTGTGAGCCTTGTGCTATCCACCCTACCTGGATGGTGCTGCCGCTTCTGAGTGGGAGGGAGGAAGGGCAGGGTGCTCCCCCATTCATTCATTCATTCATTCATTCATTCATTCATTCATTCATTCATTCATTCA